TAAATTTTACTAAAATAAACCACCAAGTAAATATCATTTTCCTTTAGTCTATAAACCATCAAGTAAATATCATTCCTTTAGTCTATAAGTTTAAATTCGCAGTTCTAGCCTAAGAGCACTTCTCACCTGATCTGCTCCCTCTAATAAATTATACTGAGTATATAGCACCTATGTTGCACCGACACCGATACGCCGATACGCGAATACGGGTACGGCGATACGGCAATTTACAAAAGGATACGTAGGGCTGAGCAAAACCCGATCCGACCCGAAAAACCCGATATTTTTTTCGGATATTATCCGAACCGAAGTGGATATCCGACCCGAAAAACCCGAAACCGAAAACCCGATATTAGTATTGGGCCTAGACCGGGTGGCGGGTAGGGTTTGTGAAATCCCAACCCGACCCGCCCGAATATCCGAAATATATGTTAGTGTGTACTTTGATTATTTAAATTAATACTACGTACTTGTGTTCAATTATTTGTGTAATTATTTGTGCAATTTGTATTAAATTATTTTAGGGTTCGCAAACCCGACCCGCCCGAACCCGACCTGCACACCTCTAAGGATACGCATCGGAGTATCGGTATCGGATACGTATTGGATACGCGGATACGGTATCGGGATGAAGTATCGGTGCAAGACAGCATAGCACAATTATAAAACGGGGAATATGCCATTAGTCATTACCACCTCCATTCTTAACTACTCTCTCTGTCCCCTTTTAAATGTTTCATTTTACCATATTGGGATGTCCCTATTTAATTGTCTCATGCCTTATTTGGTAAAGTTTGTGTGGTTCAAAAACATTCTTACTTTATTCTTACTTTATTCTTACTTTATCAATTAATATCAACCACACAAACCCACTTTTCTTAAAACTCGTGTCACCTTCTTCCGGGACATTTAAAAGAGGACGGAGGGAGTAGTTATCAAGTAAATTTCATTGTCATTAGGCGTTCCATACTTCCATCTTATAAAACATGTTTTAACTTCATACATCATCTAATAAATCAATATATATATATATAAAAGAGGAACTTTTTAAGAGTATATTGATATGGAAACAAAAATCCGTAGAAATCCACATAATTAAGGCATTTTTTGCCCACGTGCATATTATCCCAAAGAACTGAAATTTACTAAGTTTACTACGATTTAATCATAAAACTGAAATTTACTTCCACATAATGTGATTAAACTGAAATTGACTTACACATAATGTGATTAAACTGAAATTGACTTACACATAATGTGATTAAACTGAAATTGATTAATCCGTAGATTAAATTAAATCTATATATTAGACCAAATTTTCTTTTCTTTTAAATCACATTACATATTATCCGAAAGAAATCAAATTTCAAATTAGCTAAATTTCATACTGCCCGTGCATCGCACGGGCTTGAAAGCTAGTTATATATATATATAGCACAATTATAAAATGGCGTAGCTCCTTCGTGCACCCCAACAAATGCTGGGCGCACCCCATTTTTTTCAAACTTGGACAAATTTGCCCTCTTATGTTTGTTAATCATACGGACTATTAATTAGTTTATTGCTAGTGCTAGTTAATTTGTCCTCGACTGCAACGTTATTACTTTATCCAACGCACACTACCAATTTCTCTATGCAGTATTTTTGTAGCAAACAATTACTCCTGACCAACTACTCCTACAATATTTACCAAAAAAAATATTACTCAAATTACAAATACGCTACGACTATTATTTTTATAAAACATTATAATCTATTCATTTTGTTTGGATTTTTACAAAATTAAATATTATTTAATTTTTACAAAATTAAATATTATTTAATTTTTACAAAATTAAATATTATTTATAATCTTTCATATGGCACCAATAGTATATGTTTAAGAGAATGATCACTCTGTTTAAGTTTGATTTAATGAGAAATTGCTAAATGTGTATTTTACCAAAGTGTTAATTTATAAGATGGCAACTTTGAAGTTTGAAATATACATATTAATATGACATAAATTCATATATTAGGAGACATTAGTTTATAATTATAATGCCATTAAGGATATTTGTAATTGTACTGGAATTTTCTAGTCCGGTCCAATCTGATCCAGTCTGTTTAAAATTGGTGTAATTTAGTATGGTCTAGATTAGTTTGGTTTGTAGGTAGTTGTTGTATATGTATTGTACAGTAATTGAGTACCTAATTAAGAGCTCGTTTGGTGATTCTGTTTTTCGGCTCATCAGATTTATCAACTGACTTTTTAACCAAACACGTAACTTTTAATTTCGCGCGCTGAATTGTAAAAATAAAAAAAAGTAAGGTTGAAGTTATTTTTCTAGCTGTGTTGGCTGAAGTTACTGCAAATGACTATTTTAGCTATTTTTCACATAATTTTTTCTTTATTTTATTAACAAATTCATAAATCAGCATAAGCAGCCAATACAGCCACTTCAGCCAGAACTTCATAAATTTTAGCAGATTCAACAAATACAGCCACTTCAGCCAGAACTTCATAAATTTCAGCAGAATCAACCAATACATTCACTTTACCCATAACTTCATAAACTTTAGCAGAATCAACCGATTTCACTGTTACCAAACAGGCTCTAAAAGATCCTGTTGAGGTTTATTCCCGAAGATCCGAAAGCCCAACACAAGCTTTGGATATTGTAGGGATAATGGGTTGGTTCGGAAAGTGTATAAAATATAAAACAGTGAGGTATTATCCAACTCGGGAGCCTACTTGTATTTAGTAATTCTGCGATTACACCGAAATTACCCGAACGGTAGGTAAGTATGAGAATACAAGAATAAGAGAAGTGTTTCTACTTGCTAAGCTCTGAGTATTGAAATGCTAACCCTTTACAACGACCTAAACATGGGTATTTATACTAAAATGGGGATGGGTAAGGTGGACACGTGGCCGAATCTGGTAGGCTGTCACCTCTGCCATGTAAGCACCCATGCCCCCCACTTGCAGCCGCCATGATCCAGCATTAAATGCGGCTTCCACTTGCTGACTGCCCGTTCGGGTATGGTGTTCGGTGAGTGGGACCCTGCCATAGATGTTATCTTGTTTATGAGAAGTATTCCGAACCCCGTTCGGGACCCAGCCATTTGGTGCTTTGGCGTGATTGTTTCCTGAGATGCTCCAAGTAGAAGATTCACCCTAAATGCTGACCGGGAACTCTGGGCTGCTTTGGGCCTGCTACTTCTTTCCGGATTTGGGCCAAGGGATATTGGGCCTGGACCCAATATCCCAACAGATCCCAAATAGTGTTAATCACAATTAATAACCGACTCTAATCTACCCCGAACCTGTATTACCCAATCTGACCTACCGTTCATGTGCTCATTTGCCCACCCTAGTGTAAACACCTTTTAACGTGCATTACTTTTACGTTTTAATGTTCATTCAAGAAGGAATAATGAACGGGGATTTTTCAAAATAGAAGTAAATAAGTTTTAGAATTTCAAAATAAAACTACTACTACCTCCGCCCCCCCTAAGTTTGGGACAAAGTGATGTGGTGTGGTTTTTAAGAAAAACTAAAATTGCATGGTTAGTATTAAATTGATAAAGTGTGAATAAAGTAGCATGAATTCTAGCCACTCAAACATTACCTAATATGGTATTGGACAAACTTAATGAAACGGACGAAAAAGGTAAAACGGGACAAACTTAAGAGGACAGAGAGAGTATGTTTTTCTTTCCGAATAAGTTTTTGTAGTCATGACTGTCAAATAGTTGCAGTACTATGCATTCACATGGGAGTAGTAACTCATATCTCGAAACAAAAAACATAATAGTCTTATTATGGAATTCCCTAGAAAAAACATAACAATCTTATTTACTCCTATTTAAATAATTTCCCAAAAAAAATAATTATAAGGGTTAGATTAAGACATTAAGTAGTAGTAGTGGTGTCGTACAAAAAAAAAAAAAGCAGTAGTGGTGTGCCAAGTAACACCCTATTGCAAACTACATAGGAGTACCCTATTGGAACCGGAAACCGTAGAACCGATTGGAACCGAACCGTTAACAACATCTAGGAACCGAACCGTTAACAATTAATGCCTCATTTGTAGGAACCGAACCGAAGCGGGTTATAACGGTTCGGTTCCCGGTTCCTATAAAAAATATGTGCATGGAACCGCTAAGGAACCGTTATTAAAAAAAATAAAAAATAATATAATAATATTAGTAGTAGTAGTAGTAACAACAACAACAACAATAATAATAATAATAATAATATAATAACATTAATAACCACAACAACAACAACAACAACAATAATAAAACAATATAATATATTTAACTAACAATTCTAATTTAATTAATCAACAGAAAAGAAGTAATAAATATTGTACCAGAGGTTGATATAATACATTAAACTCCTTTCTACAAATCAAGTTTTGTTTCATCACATAAATTTTATAAATATAAAATAACCCAAATAGTTTGTAATTGATTGCACATATTTTACTTTACTATTTTCATGATATTTCTAATTATTAGATTTATTTTGAGTCAATAGAATGTAATAATGTTTTTTTATATCTATACATGCAAACTCAATGTCTTTTTTTTATATGTTTTGAACGACTTGAAGTAGGCGTCCTATTCTTGCTACTATAATGACGAGTAACCTTCATCGCTCTGAAACTACAACGATTTTTTATGTTTCATTTATTACATGAAAATTTAAATCACTTTCATTCTATTAAGTGTTCAAAGTTCATTAGTTAAGTTTGAGCTTTGATGTTTGAAGTGATTAGAGCTTCAAATAAAATTTTAATACTCGTGTTTTGAATTTTCGACGTGTTTAAAATTATGTGTTAATCTTAGGCGAGAAAAAATTATTCTAGGAACCGGTAAAAGGAAGAACCGAACCGTTTACTACCGGTTCGGTTCCATAATGGTTCTTGATTTTTTATATAGGAACCGAACCGATTTCATTAGTTAAAACTTTTATAACGGTTCCACTCATTTTGAGTAAGAACTGAACCGGTCTCAGCCCTAGTACATACACAGTCGGCAGGACTCCGTATAACAAGCGCATGGATTATACTATTCCGTAAAACAAAAACTTAAACTAGGGACACTTTTGTCAAAACAGGGTGCGCATAGTAATTTTGTAGGTGCGCGGAGTAATGCCCTAAAATGGGCAATGCCATTCACCCATTCCTAACTACTTGCCAATTTCATTATGACATTTTATAGAAACAACTACTCCGTAATAAGGAAGGGAGGGAATTATTATTATTAAGGACTAGAAATACGAATGTTACATTCCTATTCACTATGACAAAGAAATTGCGAACGGACTTCCCACAACATGCTTCCCATCCGCCCATTCGATTCTTCCGAAAACGTTCTTGGCAGAAGACTCCATTGCCGGAGCGGTGAAAGTTACAGTGTACGATTTCTTCTCGTTCATCTCACTGAAGCTTAAGGTTTCCGGCTCCACCGACACCTTGACCGAATTGCCGCTTCCTACATTAACAGAGACTCTGTACGTTCCGGCTTCGCCCACGTTGGTGAGCGTTCTCGTGTACTTGATTGCCGAGCTTCCACCGCCCTCAGCAGTTTGTGGGACAAAAGAAACAGCGAAGGAAGGGTAATTCAGATCTCTGACGCTGAATTTCTTGCCGGAGTCGCAACTGAAGTTTCTTCTGGCCAGAGTGTTGATTTGAGACGGAGTGTATTCGGATGCACACAAGAAATTTAGGTAATCATCCACGTTGATGTCGTATACCAGACCCGGGTTTAGAGCCGTTACCGGGTCCACGTGGCCCGCCCCGAAGTCAAAAGGGGTGGCTGGATTTGCCGTAGCCACGTCGATTAGACCCGCTCGGCTCTTGTAGGAGCTGTAAGCAGTGGTCATAAGAGCCGAGCGGATTGCCGCTGGGCTCCACTCGGGGTGGGCCCCCTTGAGGAGGGCGGCTAATCCACTCACGTGAGGACACGACATTGACGTGCCAGATATGATATTGAAATCTACATGTCTCGTGTCGACGGGTAACCCGGTCGGACCCACGGCGCCGGTCCACCCGGCTAAAATGTTGACTCCGGGTGCAATGATGTCCGGTTTGAGTATTTCAGGGGTGATCGAGTTCGGGCCCCGCGAACTGAATGCCGCAACCACCGGGGACGGTTCTATTCCCACTTTTGTTCCCTGGAAGAAAATGGTGGCCGTTGGATTGGAATCTGACGACAAGTACCTCTTGATTTCATCTCCGTTTTTCTGACCCACCGCGGCCGCCGGGAGTAGGTGGGCGTCCGCCACGAGCTCATCCCCATTCGCAGCGGTGTTCGCCAACACCATCCCTGCACCGCCGGCTGCTTTTACCTCGACACCCTTCTGAACCCTAGCATTTACTCCTCGGTCGCAAAGCACGATTTTGCCCTTCACCATCTCAGGATCCAAAGTGCCCATCATACAGAGATTTCCGTTGGTAGCATTGCTGACATTCCCGGCGTAGACCAAAGGAAGAAGTTTATTAGGCAATAGATCGCCTTTATACAGTGAAACGCCGGAATAGTTCTTCCCGTTGCCTAGACTGACTAACGCCGGGAAATCGCGGTCCAATGTTCCGGCACCGACAGTTGTAATCCACGGCGCCAAGTTGGACACGGAAAATTGATGGGGGCCTGCGTTTCCGGCAGAGCAGGAGACGAGAATTCCCTTCTCCATTGCAGCGAAAGCTCCGATGGCGACGCTGTCCCGGTAGTAATCCGAGGTGCCTCCGCCGAGGGACAACGAAAGGACGTTAACGTTGTCCTCGATTGCCTTGTCCATGGCCGCCAGTATGTCGGAGCTGAAACAACCGCCCACCCAGCAGACTTTGTACGCCGCCACTCGCGCGCGTGTGGCCATTCCGCGAGCAGATCCGGGGGCGTAACCCAAAAGGTTAGCACCGGAGACTAGAGATCCGGCGGCGGTTGAAGCCGTGTGAGTGCCATGGCCGTCTTCGTCTCGGGGCGATTTCGACTCTTTGGACTCGTCAATCGGACCCAGAGTGGATTCGTAGCCTTTGTAGAAGGATCTCGCGCCGATCAGCTTTCTGTTGCAGGAGGAAGCATTGAAGTTCTTCCCAGATTCGCACTCTCCCTTCCATGAACTCGGAACCGGCCCAAGGCCGCCGTCGTAGAAGCTCTTACTCTCCGGCCATACCCCTGTATCCAGCACCCCCACGACAACATCACTAGCCACATCCGACGCCGGGAAGAAGTCGGCGCTCTTATCTAAGCCCAAAAACAATGGCGTGCGGGTGGTGTGAAGCTCGTACTTGGTCTCCGGCAGCACAGACAGAACCCCCGGCTGATTTACCAGGGCCTCAGCTTCCTCCGGCGTAATTCTGGTTGAGAATCCATGTATAGCATTCTTGTAGACATACATAACTTCCCCAGATCCAGAGACAGATTTGAGGGAGGAAGCATACCAGTTAGAATGGTCCAGGAAGTGGGAGGGCAATTGTGATATAGCCATGTGAACGATATAAGTCCTAGTCTCCTTCCCTACTGAAGAGCCATGACAGAGTTCCAGAGGAAGAAGAAGCAGTGCAGCCAGAAACATGAAAGTTTGACAGGAGCTTTTCAACATCTGGGTTTTCATTTTCACTCTTAGAATCTGCCAATGGAGGAGAATGGCTAGAAATAGCAAATGGATGGGCAAAGAGTGAAAGGGACAGTGAAGAGAAACGGTGAAATATGAGCAGAATGTATGGGGGACGCAGAGAGGACTGGCAGAGTGAGCAATTGGGCATTCAGAGTAGGCCAACGAGTGAGGCGGTACCTATGGCTATGGGTTCTGCGTATAAATTGATAAAGTAGTTCGGATAAAAAGATTTTTTTGTTGAAAAGATTAACTTTGGGGGTTTGAATTCTTTCTAATAATCACTAACGGTATTTTGGATTCAACTTTTTAATAATGTAAATATTAGTTTAATCAAGAAAGAAAATTTTCCACGAGACTAAGGATGTTTTTATTTGGAATATTCTCACTCTCTATCCAAACTACGCATGGACCAAATCGGGTCCGGGTCCGGGCTAGGCCTAGGCCCGGTCGGGCCTTTTGTGTTAAGGGGTAGGCCTGGGACCGGCCCAGGTTGCCATCGGGTCCGGTTCGGACCGGGCCTCGGGCTTGGTTGTAATATTTTTTTTCTTTACTAAGTACCCCCCTCACCCCCCCCCCCCCTACCCCCCCCCCCTCACCCCCCCCCACCCTCCCCAAACCCCCCAAAACATCAAGCCCAACCCGGAAAGCCCAAAAAAATGGGAAAAAAAAACCATTTTTTGGCCCGAACCGGGCCGGCCGGGTCCCCATTTCAGCAGCCCGAGCCCGCCCCACTTTGTCCTTTCAAACCGAGCCAAGGACCGGTTTCGGACCCGAGGTACCGGATCGGGTCGTTCCAGCACAGTTCGGGGTCGGGTGGCCCGAACCGGGTCCATGCCTGGTCCAAACCAGACTTAAACAGACCAGATCACATCAAACTTAAACTGATCAGACTTAAACATGCTAGACCGGACTTCCGTAATTATAAAAAACAAAGAGACCAGACATTTACCAGATTAAACCAAACCAAACCAAACTTAAATAAACCAGACCAGACTTAAACAGACCAGACCATGCCAACAAGTTACAGTACAAATAAAAACACCCTAAATCTTTTAAAAGAGAGGGCGTGTTAAAACCTTAAGAATTGAGATGTTTTAATTGGATTGCAAATTTCTAATTAAATCTGGTTTGATATGTCTGATCAGAATAGGTCTGGTAGATATCTATTCTATACGTATTTTATAATTGTCGAAATCTGATTCGATCTATGTAAATGTGGTCTGATCTGAAATTGAAACTAGTCCAATAAAAAACATAATTATTTCATTCTTTGCATGTTTCACTTAGGTCAGATTTTTTTATTAGTATGACCGGTTTATGTTAGGTGTGAATTGATCTATGTAAGTGTGATGTGGACTGACAAATGCATATTAGTTGATTATTGCATTACTCCGTATTAGTCTAGTTTTTTAATGTTTCTTCCGTTGCATAGTGACCTGCTTAAGCCTGCCTAGTTTGACTTGAGAGCTAATTTGTTCCAAGTAAATAGTCTTTTTACATAGTTTGTTTGTTGTTTTGCTTTTATGAAGATGTAGCTACTCACTATTGTGTTGGTTCTTTCATTTTGTTGTGTTGTTATTAGTGATTAAAATGCTCCTTTTGAAAGGTAGTTGTGTCTATTCTCTTTATTGGAAATGCTTCACGAACTGTGCTTTGATTGTTCGCTGTACTTAGACAATTATAGTTTTCCAATTTGATTTTATAAAACTTGTTTCGCTTTAAATTAAAAAGGAAAAAGTAATGAGCATAAACTTTTGGGAAAATGATTGGACAAAGAATAATGACAGCAAAGCATCATGTCTAACTTGGTGGAAATTCCAAATTTCAAGTGCGAGATCCTCATAATACCAAGGAGGCAAGGAGCACATAATTAAAAGGCAAACTCTTGTATAATGCATTTTTGTACATTATGTATCACTCTTGGTAATTAGTATGTAAATGAAAAAACAATCCCCCAAGTCCCTAACTAAAAAGGGAGAAAAGAAACTTGGAGCGAGTCAAATGCTTCTTCTGGAGGGGTAAAGAAATTGCTGGTTACGTAACTTACGTTGTGTTTTAAAGAGTTGAAAATGGGTGAATATTACTCATAAAAACTGAAAATATTGTACGGAGTATAGGTCATGCATTTTTTTGGAACAATATAGTTCATCTATTTGATTGATCAAAGTCAATATTTCAGGATTTATTTAAATTTAAAGTATCCAATAGCAATATTCCATTATTATTTGGAGTGGAATGAATTACACTTTGATGATATTATTATGACAAGAGTTGGGTGCTCCCACTCTAAACATTTTGGTTAATACTTTATATATTATGGTAATAAATTCGAGTTTTTGCCGTTGATATTATGGATATCACAATATTAAATATAATTATTACGTATTTATTATGTTTGATGATATCTCTATTAAGTCTATTTGATAACACATCTTTCACCCAACTGCCCAAGTGGCCAACTGCCCAAGTATATGACACTATTCAACAACGTATTACATGAATCGTGGTATTAATGAAACGTGGTTGATGGTTGACCCCAATATTCTAAAAGGCGCTAGGCGCTAGTCGGGAGTAAGCCCACCGCCTAACGCCTAGGCGGCAAGTCAGGTGCCTAGCGTCTGGACGGGGACTAGTCGGAGACAGAAAAATTGTAATTTTATCAATATTTGAGCATAGATATGATTAGTAATGTTGTGTTTGTGTGTTTTTTCATACACACATACACATTTACATGTATGAAGGAGAGAATTGTCACATTTAATAATATATTATACCTACTCACTAGTAGTTTTTCTCATATACGTTGTTAAAGTTTAAAGTATATATATATATATATCTTAGGATACTAAAATCAAAAAGAAAGAAAAAATCGTTGAATCTAGACCCCTAGGCGGCCGATTAAGCGCTCTGGGTGGGCAACTAGACGCCCTAGGCGGCTGACTAATTGACCTTAGCGCCAAATCAATTAGTTGGAGCGCCTAGACAAAAATCAGGCGCCCGACCACCGCCTATCGCCTAGGCGGGGACTAGTGGGGCGCTTAGAGCGGTTTTAAGAATAGTGGTTGACCCTATTGAAATAAAACACCAAGAAAATACACTTTTGACTTTGGTAACATAAAGTACAAATTGTACTATATGTTTAACAAATTGTGAACAATTATGAAAACTTGAACAAATTGTTGTTGAAGCGGGTGAATCTCTTGAAAAAATTATTTAAAATACGTTGTATTAATAAAATAAAGGTTTACATATTTTTAATTCCTGCAAATATAGTATATTAGTACATTTTTTTTGAAAGGATAGTACATTAGTACATCTGTTTTATATACTTGCAAAAATTAGTTTTTTGTTTTTTATCCTTGTAATTTATGTTGATTTTTTTTAGTCCATCACAAATGATAACAACCTCCGTTTGACCTTACAATAACCCCGATTAATAGATTTCTTCTATTTCATTATTTTGTTATTTAAAATGTATTTATATTTTAGAAGGTTTTTTATACAAATTTTTAAAATGTGAGTACTTAGTTTTATATTGTTTTAATTCTCATATTAGCCTCAAAAAATTATACGACAATTTAAATATTTCTAGTAGATTTATGTAACTGACGGTAAGTTTTTTGTGAGTAGAGTAGTTTCAAAATTAGATATGGACTAAAAACAAAATAATGCGTATTGCAGAGATGAAAAATAAGAAAAATATTTTGAAGGGACCTAAAACAAAGTGTGTAATATTTGCAAGGACAAAAAAACGGTCTTTCATATTAATACCATTCAATTCAATCAAAAAAGTACTCCCTCCGTCCCAAAATTAACTTCTCACTTTCCTTTTCGAGCAGTCCCGAAATTAACTTTACACTTCAAAACTTTTCTTATTTGGCAAATAATCTACATCAAAAAAGTGTCAAACAGTGTCAAACAGTGTCCTAATAGTGTCAAACAGTGTTTAAACAGTGCAAAACAATGCACTCCACAGTAAAGTCAAATTTATTTTCTTAATCTGTGTGAAGTCAAACTGAGAAGTTAATTTTGGGACGGAGGGAGAAATTACAATGTTACTTATTTTATTGTTAGACTATTAGAGTTATTATAAGTATATGTATTAAAAGGATACCCCGTATTTTTTTTTTGTTCATTTCTTTATAAAATTATTAGGAGTAGTACTATCATTTTTTACCCGGAGTATTATAGTTCCAAAGGTTGAATCGCCAACCCCAAGCGCCCCCCACGCCCCGACCCGACAAAGCACATGGGAGGATGTAAGTCACGGTGACTCAGTCAGCAGAGTGGCAGTAGGCCTTTACCCCGTGCGCACCAGAGGCCCAGCCTTATTTCAGGTTCTGTGACCTCCACCCGGTCGCTGCGGGGATTCGAACCTTGGTCATAGTTCCAATTTTCCCACCACTCGACCAGCTGAGCTACCCGTGCGGGTTTACCCGGAGTATTATTGTAATAGGTGATGCCGTCACTCACCTTCCATTGCTCCAACTACTTGCCCTGTTACGCGGCTGACGCCACATTATATTTACGAAGTACGGAGTAATAAATACGTGTATTTGTTGTTGGGATGCTCCTTTTGATCACCATAAATTATGGTATCCGTATCCCTACCGATAAAAAGAAGTTACATACTCGGTAGTACTCTGTTTCTAAATTTACTTTCATTTCGCTTTTCGAAAGTCAACTTAAATCACTCTTAAACTCTTACTTTTTGTATCAAAACTTTATGAAAATTGTTTTTTTGTGCAGACTTTGTAGCGGGTTTAATTTAGTTTCTGAATATGTAAATTTTATTTACTAAAAATAATCCGAGTTTTCACAGGGATCATTTAACTTTATCATCGGTCAACCTTCGTAATCCGCAATCGGAACAACATTCAGGGACGGAGGGAGTATATTGTATTGTATTGCGAAGTACGTATTACATCTTGTGTACATCCTAGAATACCACTACTCCTAAATAGGGGCGGATCCAGAAATTTAATCTATTGAGGGCACAAATTAAGTAAAAGTAAGGAAAAATTATTATAATTGTAAATTAACTTTACAAGATGAAAAAAACCAATGTTAGCATACTAGACACAAAGGAAAATCGTGACCACGAAGTTGGCAAGGTCCCCTAAACAAGTATTTCCTTCTTATTTCATCTCTTTGATTAGGATGATGTTCCGAAAAAAATTCCTTTATGTGGGATCCAAAGG